ACACACACACACACACACACACACACACACACTCATACAAGAGTTCTTCTCAACATCATTAATTCATTTAAATGCGATTAATTTAAACTAAAGGAGAACGCAATACATATCATAAAAGTAAACATATAACAACACAGGGCTACGATTGGGACACCTGAATCAATAATCAATGGTTAAATGGTAGATAAATAAAAAAGTGTCTGTGCATAAAAATAGCTTCTATTGTCCATAAACGTTCCGCCATGAATTGTCGTCTATTTCTGCACGTGTTAGTTTTTCTCTTCATATTTCTAAACCTACTAACCACGAGATGCGACTAATTTTGTTATTCGGTCTGCAACAAAGCAGAAATTCGAAAGAAAATGACGAAAATTCGAATATCTCTATGAAACACCGAAGAACGTCCTAATATTTATGCGATAGACTATGCAGAAATTAACGGAACACGTAAGAAAACGATAACCGATGGGTCTCGCCATTTGTATAGTCATACTACACCATCACCCGTAAAAAACATGTGGACATTTTTATCATTCTTTCCGTTTGAGGATATAAGTAATGAGCGATGATAAGCGATAATCGAACGACTCCAAGGAGTAGAATAATCTTCGTTGATAAGCGGGACCTATCACTCCTGAGGTAACAAAATTGAAAATGAATTTGAGACATTTTCTCGCTTCTTGCTAAGCCCCACAGATCTTTGGGCACCGCAATACTTCCCGAACGGCCGTAGCCAGCAGGATAGGAAGTGCATCGTCATACCAAAAGCAATTCTACTTTGGGCAAGCTGCCCTCCATGGACAATCACCATATCATGACTTGTCGTCTTTTCGATTTATACCAGACTACACAGCTTTTGGTGTTATCGTACTGCACGCTACCAGAGCTGCGCTTGCCTTTGGACCATTCACACATCCCGTAAAGCTAACCAGCACAGCCAGACGGATAAACGGATAGACGGGATGCGTCCGTATTCTTCTGTGCTTGGTATATAAATCTGAGAAACTTAGACACGTCAAATAATATGTGAATCGATCGAAGCTTCTGTGTTTGTTCGTCGGCCTTGTATTCGTATCTTGAACCTACAGACAGCAATTTCTGAGATAATTTGATCAACTTTAGTACACTGACCACTTGGCGTAAGAGCGAACGCTATACATAGTACATAAAAGCCAACAATTTGTTATACTCGTTGTCGAAAGATAAATGTAATACTAATTTTGTCCTTGAATTTGTCGCATCAAAAAATCCACATCAAAGACTCCATAAGGATCACGTTTTTCAATCTGGATCGGTTTAAATCGGTTAAGAGGCAGTCAGTGGTTTATTTTTGCAACACACACACATAAATGACACAACAAAATGTGCAGCAAGCTGACGCATTGTACAAAATGTCCAATTAATCGGTTCGGTTTGAAAATAAGCGCATTGCAAGTCCAGAGCAAAAAGCTTCTTCGCCCGTACATTGAAAACCCCGCAGTAATCCTCAACACACGTTCATCGATTACTTGGTTAGAAACATTTTGCAAAGTCATCCATCCATCCATTTAAGGGTTAGCTAACTTAAATTTAATTAGCCAATTACGACCACATTTACTCTGGCCGCTTCGCTGCCACGAAAAGGTATTCCGCCGTACGGTCGTAGCCTAACTCAAAGTTTTCTAACAACAGACCGATAGATGTACGCTACCCGACTAAATCAATATATTATAACACGTGATGTCGTGTTATATGCAAATCGAACAAATATGTCCAGTGCGGCTCACTATTTTTTTTGTTAGAAATAGGAGCGTCGACAAAAAAATAACAGAAACGCAAGATTTGTTTCTTAAAATCATTTTAGACATTTTTCAATTTTTCGATTTTTCAATTTTTCAATTTAAATGCACGTTGCTTTACTTACATCTTTGGTGGGAACGCATAAGGGTGTACCAACTTTAACAATGCCGTTCTCAACCATAACGCCCATTACAATTGGATCGCGAGAGTTGAATATGTACAGTGGCAGTACCTGCAAATAGAATGTAATAAATTCTTAGTTATGATAATACTTTTTATTTTAAATATTCGTTACAATTGTAAGCGAGAGCAAGGCATACCAGCGAATCGAAGGAATAGATACTTAACGTTATACAACGGGCTGGTATTCTGTTGCCATAAAATTGTTTACAGCTAAGAAATTTACTGATACGCTTACGACGAATATACTTGCCGTCGTTTGACTGCTCCTCACTCGATAATATTTATGTTCATATTCAAGAGACAGAGACAGCTCCCAAAACTACCAAAACACATCATTACCCTCTAATAACTGATCTTACTGCAGAGAAACCAAATCCATTCAATTAATAAAGACTTTCAAAAATTTCGTAAATATAAGGTGAATATAAAAGTCTGTTTAATGCAATACGGAAATCAGACGGGCAATAGCTCCTAATCGGCTATACCTTTATGCCCCTTAGTTACCGATTTAATGAGGAAAAATTCGATTCGTTCGATTTTTATCTCAACGAATTTTAAAATAAAAACTCGAGCGATTAAAAGACAAACGTGGTTCTTCATCTTTCGCAACCGATAATGTGGACTTCCAAAAAAAAAACACTTATCACCTATTCACCCCTTGTCCGCTTATCTTTATCGATCTTATTATTACAAACACTTTTGATTAGACATTTTGATTAGACATTTGGAAGTCACTTATCGTCAACGCTATAGTGTAAATATTAATTGTTAGTTCTCTTTACGCGAAGCCGTTTATGTGAGCAAATGCCGATACGTATGTTTGCAAGCCGCGTATTAATCTCTAATGCGTTCCATTAATAAAGTGAATAAATATTGGATTTATTAAATTACTATTGATATGAAAAATTATTTTGAAAGTCGGTTTTGATGAAAACGTAATGAATGTTACAGATTCATAGCGCAAATCCCCCTCCCTCGAAGTCCATTCCTTTTTCAAATGTCGATTTGAGTTGCAACGCTCCCTTACCAACTATAGTTTGCGAATGAGCAATCGTCTCGTCATATTTACAACTTCAATACAGATCTCTTTTGCCTTTAGGACTTTTCCTCAAAAAAAAAAAAAAAAAAAAATCGTTCTTTCCTTTTAATCGGACGAATGCACATGAAGCATAAAATGTTATGATGTGAATTTTGCATGTGTGTTATTCATAAAGATGTAAATTTTAGAAATTTTTGCAGGGTATTTTATTTATAAAAATGTCCCGAGCCAACATATACATACTATACATATTCCGAGATATGTATGATAAATTTTCATACCCATCGGCGTAGAATGAGTAATATATTCATGTTGCTTCATAGAACCTACAAAGTGTATATGTTTATGTCCGGCATCAAATTCTGAATTGATTTAAGCCTGTGCATCTATCCATCTGCCCGGGTGTGTAATGTCTGTTTAAAATATTTTCCTTGCCGCAAAACTGAAGCTATCGACATTGCAATTGAAACGTATATTCTATAGGCGATGTTGTAGTATTTGTGCGAAAATAGTAAAAATTGAGCATCCCTACCCAATGTTATAATGAGCAGGCTTCAAAGATCCCATCAAATAGATAAATTCTTGACTAATCTCAAATACCGCGTGTCCGCGTGTCCGTCTGTTCATCTGGTCATCTGTCCGGTAAGCATTCTCTCGTCGACACAAGTCAAGGTATCGCTTACAAGCTTGCAAGAGAATTTGAAAATGAGTCAAACTTTGCAAAGAACACATCTATCGCGCCCACACGTGCATATAAGAAAAACAATGAACACTTTTGCTGATAAACTCATAAACAGATACACGATATATGTTTCCACAAAAGTATTCGACAAAAATAGGATGACGGTGATGGGTACATATATAGAGAATTCGGTTACAATCGAATATAATTTTCGCATTTGGTTTTCTCTCATTTGCAACTCTTTCATTCAGACTGGCTGACTTCTTTAAAGTAAAATTCAATAGATGTTGTTGATGCTTTGTTTTTTTTTTTTTAAATTTAAAAATAAATAAATAATAGTGAATTGTTAATCGGCTTACCGTGAGCTTACAGGGGAACACCGCAATGGAACGAAATTCTTCACGTTTCTTTAGTTTAAGTTCTTCACGATACGCCATAAATTTATCAAAGAGATGATAAATGATATCGGCTTGAAAAATCTTCACCCCCAACGAATCGGCCATTTCTTGCGCTTCCCTCTCAACCTTAACGTCAAATGCCAAAATAGTTGCGAATCTACACAATAGAGAACAAATAAATTGAAAATAAATTGAAGCAATCATTTGACCTATTCTCGCATTAAATCGTTCCTTCGAGAAAGAACATACATACAGCCATTGACACATAAATAGCACAAATTTAAGCGAAAACATATAACAAAAAATATTTTTTTTTTTTTTTTTTTAGCCTAAGTAATTAAAAGATTTTATTCTCAGTTCACAACATTGTTTAGCTCTACAATAAGGAACATAGTCGTCTACTTGAGCATGTCCCCGTATCATTTTGTCTTTTTTCTCGTCTTCCCGATTCATGATGGCTAAAGAATGTGCTTCGGATTTATTAAAAAAAAAAAAAAAAAAAATAGGTGCAAAAAAGTGCCGAAACAATTTCTATTTTAAATAAGATGCTCTTCACTTTTAATTATTTTTTATTATTATTATTTTATTTTTTTTTTTTTATGTTAAATTATTTACGTTCTTCTGTTAAAAGCCAAAGCGGCCAGAGAAACTTATTGCATTCCACCAAAAGAAAGGTAACGGGGAGGAATTGAGACGACTGAAAGGAATATATTAGAGCGGTCCAGAAAACTGGACCTTTACGATATGGCAGTAAATTGATAGCATAGAATGTTATCTACTTAAAATTTAAAAAAAAATGGAGCATTCAAGCCGATATGAAGACTGCTGGAATCTGGTGTGCTGGTCAACAGCGAGCGAGAGCCATTTAAGTCCATTGGCGAAATCGCGACAGATTTTAATAAGGTTTTCGCTGTGAGCGTGTCAGGTAGATGGGGAACCAGTTTTTTGGCCCACATTGGAATATCCACAAGTGTTTGTCATTCACCAGCAAAGTGCACCTTTAGAGGAACGATGTTAGGGAAGAAAATTAATAGAATTGAACAGGATGCCGTAACGTTTGTGCACACAATCCAAACTACATTGCACTGCTGGCCACATACTAGGGAACTTTTCTTCTTTTTTTTTTTTTTTGTATACAACAGGTTGTCTGGAAATGGTAGAGAGCGAAATCGGCTGATTTCAAGATTCAATCGGATCACGACTGAGAGATTGTCGAACGACAAGAATTCTAAGTGATTGCTTTCGCCCTTTTATAAGAAAACAATAAAGTTTTAGAATGGCCGATATAAAGTTGATCTTTTCATATCAATGAATATATATGTGGAATCACGTCAAGCAGTAGAGAGTAGAGTGTCCAAAATACATTTAAAAATAATAATCAACTTTAGAGAGGTTTTATCGGAGTTTATTTTTCTACACTGAAGTAAACATGCGAAACGCTCACTAAAAGCTCCGCTCGCAGACGTTAAGCGGAAATAGATAATCCAGAATAATGCACGATATATTGAATGATAAAGAGAGAAAAATAAACAAGCAAGAGAATTAATTCGGTCGGAACCGAATCTTTTATACCCATCGCCGTCATTTTCAAAGAAGGCTAAAAAAAAAAAGGAAAGAATTAAATTTTCATATCCGATAATATTGGGCGGGCGCGGGTGATTTTTGATATTTTTAGAATAAAGGAAGAAAAGTGAATTTTATGAGTAAAAAACAAAATATACGAGAAGCAAGCGTTCATAGTTTTCATTGCATAGAAGTGCGGTTGTCCTTTGACCAGTTGGCTCTTCATTTTTGCGCACGAGAAAATGTTGACCATATCTACCACGCGATTAGGCAAACGGACATACGGACATCCATAGGTACATTTCCAATTCCAAGAATTCCTAGATATTATTATGGGTTTTTGAAGCTTGCGCGTGCGTTGTAAAGATATTGCAAAAAAATTGTAATTTTGAAATCCGATAATATTGGGTAGGCGTGGTCAATTTTTTCCAGTTCGTGCATGTACTACAGCATCCCCCATGCCATAGATGTTCAGGTTTTTGTAGATTTATCTGCTGTAGTTTGCGAATAATGGAACAAAAATCCAATTTTTTATTCCTTCTGAAAAGCAAATGTGCTCTCGGTTTGCTCGGCAGTACTGTAGGGATGTCCTTCAACCAATACCATTTTCGGTATTAACGTGCGTGCAAATTTAAACTCGATACACGATACAGATATTATGCAGACGGCCAGACGGACATGCTTAATGCTAATGCTAATGCTAATGCTTTTAGGCTAATGAATAATGCGCGTGTATACAATTTGTAGGTTCTCTGGAGCTTCCTCCTGAATGCTACAAACGTTTTGACGAAACGAATATATCCGTAATCGCGCGGTAATGGGTATAAATTTCATTTTAACTATTATTATTATAACTTATATTAATTTATTATTATCAGTGCTATTTGTATGTCCAAAGGCCCTTCATACTTTTGAAAATATTCTTAATGTATAGGATTTTGTTTCTTTCACTTACTCAAACGTTTTTAGATTTTTTATATAAATAATTTAATATGTATTTTAAAAGAAAAGTGCATTTTTTGGCGATATTTTTAATAAATCACTTAATAGATGTTTGTGTTTATTCTCAGGTTGAAGTGTATGTTATTTATAAATTTGTAGTCATTTTTAGTTACAAGGACAGAGAAACGCAAATAAAACATAAAATAAGAATTTCAAATTCGACTTTTAGCAAATTTCAGTTAATATATGAATAAATAGCTTTATCTAGACTTCTTAATGTAAGCTAACTGGTATCGATTTAGACGGTAAATAGCTATATCTAGAAGAACCGCTCACCTTCAATGAGTACCATCGGATAACATATTTACGAATTGAGGTGATGTGGTTGAATACACGAATTTGATGACAAGCTTTGTGGCTGTAAATTAAAGGACGCAGTCATTAAACACAATGAAATTGTATTAGCGGATCATTTAATGGCGAACAGGTGGTAAATAGATGACATTGTAATGATCCTACTAAATAAATTCGTACCGCACGCGCGATTAATGACGGACTTTTTCAAGAATCGTATAACTTGCAATTTTCAACGGACATACTGGGACCGTTTCATATCCAAGAGTGCTTCGTATTGCGCTCGTGTACTTCCTATCACGTTTCAGATGCACACGTACAGATATTACAAAAGGAATGATAAAATATTCACTAAAACAACAAATCATTTTCATATCATATCATATACATATATACATATATACATATATATATATATATAATACATATAATATAAGTGTGGCCAGTTATTTGGTAATGGAAAACTTCGTGGCGTTGAATTGATTTAGAGTTGAATAACTTTGACGCTCACTATTCTCCTATCAAGCTGTAGTTGATGTATACATATACATGCATACATGAGAAATGAAAATTCCATTGACCGTTAAAAAAAAAAAAAAAGAAAGGAAAACGCTTTTAAAAATGAAAATTCCGAAAATTCTGATTATATTGTACAATTTCACTGTAGTCAAGACAATAACGCTTCGCAGTCGTATGATAAAATTGCTTATATATAACACGGGAATGGTTCGCACGTTACCCTTCTCTGCAAATTTTCATTATTAAAAGCGCGCTACCAAAACTAATTCACAATTTGAGTACCACACGGAATAGAGAATTTATTGGATCGCATTTACATCTGTGGATGGTTGCGGAAACGCAATTACACAGTTAGAAGTATTTTCGAAGAGTTTTGTAACGTATAACAAAAAGTGGATCACACAGACCAAATGGTGGCAAACTTCATTTTGCCTTATTTGATGGATGGATGGATGGACGGCCTCGTATGTCACCACAACAATGCAGAAAAAGTCAGAAAAAGTGTAGAGAGTTTAACGAGGTCTCGATTCTACCTCGGTTTTTGCGTCGTCCGACTACGTTTTTGTTTCTCTCTCTCTCTCTCTGCAGAACTCTGTTACCGGTGTAAACATATTTTAATATTTGTTTCAGTTCTTCGCTCCCAGAAGTTTTAGAGTGATAGCCTTAACAGCCTTGGAAAGAAAAAAAAAAATATGACAAAAGTTACGTATTTCGTTAAATAAGATCACATTGGGGCGATAAGAAAATGTTCATGAATTTCGGAAAAAAAAACGCCACGAAATTTCTCCTTTACCGAACATGCAGAGGAAGCTGACCATTATCTATAACACACACACACAAAAGACATATTAATATATATATACATAAGTAAATGTATATATTTATATTTAAAATATATGTTTGTATATACACGCAGCATGTGTCTACATCTATATTCATATTTAATTATATATATGTACGTTTTATCCATACTTAGCAATAGGGTATCGTTGCTATGAACAGGGAAGCCGGCTATCATGCTGTATAAAATTTGATCATGTTAATGATGATGGCTATTAATTTATTCATAAACAACAACAATGGCAACAACAGCAATATTGGATATATAATCGCATTGCAATTGCCTTTAATGCTACAGCGTATGCATGGCAGTTTCATTTCGGTTCGCGAGCCTTCCTGAATAAAAGACAACTCGCTGTTAATATAAATAAACTCCTTTCTGACGTAAAAACAGGAACAATTATTATCTGATCTTTTATTTAATAATTCTTGAAAAAATCTCAAAATATAAGTCTTCGCGTAAGGGAATAATAAGCTGCCGCAATGTTCGCAATTGTTTTAATCTATACTAAACAGACGAAAGCGCGGAACGTTTCAATCATCTGCAGTAAGTATGTCGTGCTTTTTCCCTCTTAAGTTGGAAGATTTTCTAGCAAATTTTTCCGAAGAGACTCGGAAAATGTCTAACGTAAAATCCAATGCTGTCTTAATTTTCATGTTTGTAAGCGGCAAAAAAAAAAAGAAGAGCAATGATTGCGAAATGACGAACGGATAAAATCAAAATTTTATCGTAAATTTGACTCGTATCTTATGCTGGTTGCACGACATTCAAGTCGTCGAGTTTTGTTTACAAATTTTATTTCACATTTTAGAGGCAAATGTTTACTTACTGTGGCTCATGCTCTAACATTGTCGACGCCTTCATTACATCACGCTTAACAACGGGACCAATACGTATAGACGAATACTGAAAAGTGAATAAAATAATAGACATCGTTTTATATACACTTTCGTAAAATGTCGGATTTAGAAGATCTTTAAGGACTCGATGAGAAATTGTGATCTGATTTGTATTTTACTAGGTGTTTGCAAAAATTTTGATCACTTGCTCATCTGAAACAGGCATTTGTTGTGGAAAATTGCTGCAATGCTGCATGCAATCGAAATAGTTTCCATCATTTTCTACTACATTTTACAATATTTTTGACAACATGGCGATATCATGTCGAAAGAACTTATATTGGTTATATTTGATCGCCAGCGATCGCCAATCATCGAATCATTTTCGCACTTCTTCAACTTTGCGGACCTGCATGCCAGCCAAGCTATGCTGCGCCGAGCTGTACAAGCGGCCATCAGGAGGCGCCATGTCTGTTGGGTATGCTGAATGTGCCTGAACTTTCAATTGGAGTTGCAACAGTATATTCTGGATAATACTTGCAACAAGCGGCCAAAAAATGGCATTTTCAGTTTATTTATGTACGCCGCTATTAAACCGTTCAACACAAAACCAACAATTGGGAACGTGTTTGGCGGGCCTCGGCAGCAGATCTCTTCAAGCAAAACAACAAAAGTAATGAAATTGGAAGAAGAAGAATTTTAAGTGCTGACTGATTAGCGTTGGCGTACGCTAGAGGAAGGTCAAATTCAACGAATGCAATCGTTATGCACACTAATATTTCATATTTCTGTAACATTCTTGCGCGCAAAATTTTCGCTGATTAAAATTTTTGCAAACACCTAATATTAAAGTTTTAAAATATTTTCAAAATTTTCTTTACAAAACGAAAATAATATTTAAGAAAATTTGTACATATTATATGAAACATACATACACATACACATACACACAAAGCAATACAATTCTCACAAAAGCTGTACGCAATACGCAAATCGAATAAAGATACACGGTTCATTTTATATACAAAATCTTAAACTAAACAATCGGAAGATCCATAAAGCATTGTTTTTCTGCTTGCTTTGAGGTTATGTTAATGAAACCATTTCACTTAATACACTTTTGGCAAATTCATTTCTTTCAACGTTCGTAAACTGTCGAAATTTTTAGATGCATCTTTATATTCGATTAGGAGAACTTTAAATAGGTTAGCGCCAATTATAAGCGCGCCGGTAAGGGAACAGTGCGCAAGGATTCCGATCAGTCTAAACACTTGGTAAAATTTCCATATTAGGTATATTAGGTATCTTGCATCCACCACTTATCCTAATGATCTGAATTTATTAATAACGCACCCTCCAAGCAAAAAAATGTTTTCTATATAATTTATTTTTTACATCATTATTACGTGGTTTCTTCGCGACTACCAAGTTTGTGTTCGCGGTTTCACATCTCAACGCGGTAGAGTTGACTTTGTTCGGCATAAGACTTACTGATCGTACGTAAACTCATTACGCTTCGTCCGCTTCCCTATCTCTTACCTTTTCTTCACTTTGCCAAGGTACAGTCTATTCTACTAAACACTTTTCTTATAGCTATACCTATGTGTCGACTTAGCTTGCTAAGAAAGTAAAATAAATCGCACTCAACACTTCAGGCCTTTCCATCAAGTACGGATTATGTCAATTTGATATGGACTTGGGGGGTAAAAAAAAAAAAAAACAAGATAATCCGCAGCCGTAGCGAACGCGATTTTGTATATACAATAAAAATCATTCGTTCCCGATTATATTGCTGTCGCTATCGAAGGGGTGTTTGTTCGTTGATTCGTTATCCGTATAACGAGGGTATATCGCTCACTTTCTTAAGTGACCGAAACAAGCATTGGAAATTTCCAGGCCGACAGTAAAAAGCAAATTAAAGAAAATCTTACGAAGATAATTCTGCTTTAACCATAAAGTATATGACCTCAAAAGCGTAGCAAAGCACTCTCGGAATGAGATCGAAATTAATTTTCGATCGATTATTAATTTTATTGCTAGGAAATGTGCAATACTTGTAGATGAAAAATCCGTTGTGCGCTAATAATTAAATTTTTCGCCAAATATTGAAACATTGAACCCAAAAAAAGAAAAAAAGAAGAAAAACGGAAGTATTTTAAATGATTAAAACAACAATAAGCGGTTTGTTCTCATTGGCAGTCATAACACGGCATTATTGTAAGTAAGCTTGAGCTGCAAAAGCGACGCGCTTCAAAAACACGAAATTAACTCGCTTTATTTACCTTACGCGTACCTTAAGCGTAAGGGAATTATTCACAATAGAACAAAAGGTGGCCATCGCCGACACACATTATCAGTTTAGTTTGAATGAAGAAACGGTAGAAGTAATTTCGTATTTGAGGAAACGAAAGGAATTTTTCGACAACAAAATAGCTAATCCTACATACACCTGCATATATATATATATATATATATATATATATATAATATGTACATATGTTATATATAAATATACATCATCAATTCAGTCGCATATAAAACAAGAGAAGATCCCGGACCCAAGTCTTAGCGTAAACTCGTTTCAATTTTTATTTTTTGTCTGTACATCTGTCTGTCTGCATGTGTTGTTATATGTGTGTAATTTTGTTAGTTTTTTTCGCATTCTACTTTTTTCCCTCGTTTTACGAAATATTTCATTCACTCAAAATGTTAGTGAATGGGAACGAGTGTGTATTACATGTTTATGAATGAAGTTAATTTAAGCAAAAGTTTGCTGTCGTCGTTGCCGTTGTTGTTGTTGTTGTTGTTGTCAGTGTAGCTTTTTCTACCATTAATGAATGAATAAGCTGTCTAGTTAGTGCGTTTTATATATACGCTTTCTGCTTGTACATGTGCTTGTGCTTATGCTTATGCTTATGCTTATGCTTATGCTTGTACTTGTGCTTATGCATGTGCATATGCATGTGCATATAAATGTACATATTTATATGCGGCAGGAAGAATAGCTTCCGTTGTGATTGTGCTGTCGTAATAACCAGAGCCTCAAGCAACACTAAAGCCAATCTTCTTCTTAAACAACTTCATCGTTATACTGCAATTAAGTGCAGATGGTCTAATGGTTGTAAAACATAGAAATATGCATTGGAGATTTCATAAACAATGTTCACATAGCAAATGTATGCGTATGAACGCATGCATGCATTTATGCAAGTATATGTATATATATATATGTTCTTGAACTAAATTGAGAATTGAGGATAAATCAAATTAACTGGATTTAGCTTTAGACGCCCGCTTACTTATTCGCTATTCCCTATTCGAGTACAAATCAAAGTAACGAGAAAATGTTATTGCTTTTTGTACAGACAGGCCTTAGGCTATAAGGAATACATTTTCATTTTTTCTAATCCCTCCCCCATTCAATTCGATAGATCGATATTTAAACATTTTTCAAGCATCTCGACAAGCCTCGGTTTGAAGATTTCGACAATTTTATGATAATCGTAATTAAAGGCAAAGACAAGCAAAACAGATATGATCATCCTTGGATCACTTCTAGATATCAACGGTTTTCGGTTTTATGTCAATTATGGCTGCGTCGCCAGTATGTTAATCGCTTCATTTTCATTCTGTATTGTCAATAAGCATTTTTTTTTTTTTTTTTTTTTTTGGTAGGCACTTGTATCAAATCGGCGACGCTAACGTCCGCTTTTTGGTGACATGGAACTAGTTCGCATGACACTCAAATAAGACAATAAACGCTATCATAAATGGATAATATTGCACTGATGTAAATTTAATAGGGCTACATTCTCAAACTATTTGGCGCATTCCAAGTGCAGATTTCAAGCCTTATTACCGCATTTGGGATATTTTCTAGTGTTTAATCAAAAGGCTTCATGTAATACGGCGACGGCCGCTAAGAAGTTACGAAAATGAAAAAGATAGGGAAGCGGCCGCAGCCTAGTGATTGTGTGCACAATCGATACCGTGGGCCAAACGGCCCTCACTATAGCTACGATCCGACTGAACTCTACGACATTTAGATTTTAGTCGGCGAACAAACGCAGGGTAGCCGCAATTCTCAGGTACAATCGACTATATACTTATGCAGATTTTTGGGCCGGCACAAGCAACGTACCTGGATTATACACCGTTTAAACATCTAACAGAAGATTCAATAAATACTTTGCATGCGGCAATTTAGAACGTAAGCAGCAGACTTTCATTTTTCCAATCCAAAACTCGAATATGCAATAAAAGTTAGTTTGTTCAATTGTACTTTTCGCTGGGGCTATACATAGCTGTATAGATATGTGTATGTATATCTTATTTACTCATACAAGATTAAATGTGTTAGCAAATTCTTTCCGATGTAATTGGTCACTTCATAAGGCTACGAATGACGCGTGGATTTTTCCCGGAATCTTGGGTGCAGCCAACTCGAAATTGGATTGATGCTGGCAAGGCATAAGTTTCAGTGGTTTACAAGCTATCGTTTAGTGCCATATCAAAGTGAAAAGAAACGGGTGTCATTTACGTTCCTTTCCGTTATTAAGGATATGCAATAAGCTACGACACAACTAGAAAGCGATTTGCAAGATTTCGTGGAAGAAATTTTTGTGCTGAAAACGATGAAATTTACATACGTCCGTTTGTCTCCCGCAAAAGCAACTCCGCAGATAGCTGTCAACTTATGTTGAGAATTTCTCATGTTCCCCGATTGGGAACTATTTTTCTCACACTTGCCTCCTTTCTCCGCTTAGCACTGGTTGAGATAAATGCAGTGATATTTGGAGGAGCAATAGCTTCGCAAAATTGAAGATGTACAAGAATGGATCGATGACTATTTCGTCTTGGAATCACGAAGTTGCGGTTACTTATTTTCTATCGCTTTTAAAAGAAGTGGATGGCGCTTTTCTTACTTTACGCTGTCCTCTGAAAGTATGCTTTGACCCTTTGGATCATTTTCAATGCTCGTGCCGTATTCGTGACCGGTAGCTTCATTTTTGCGAGCACGATATGCGGACAGACAAATGAACTTGGTTAAACCGATTCATAATTCAA